ATGATCACATCTTTTCTGGCAGAATCCCAATAAGCACTTTCCACCATGACGACCATGGGGTGTATGCAACATTGCTGAAGATGCCTGTGTTGCTCCTGAAAGGGAACGTGGCTCCTGCAGTGTGAGGGCTGCAGCCTGGTGCACAGGCACGTGCTCACTCATCAAACCAACAGCGCCCTGGCAGATAATGGTGAAGAACAAGCTTGTCCAACCCACAGTCCCTGGGCCACATGAGGCCCAGGACAGCTTTGAATGCGGCCCAACACAAATTTGTGTTGAAGCATTATGAGATTTTTTTGTGTGCAATTTTTTAAAGCTCATTAGCTATCATTAGTGTTAGTGTATTTTATGTGTGGCCCAAGACAATTCTTCTTCTAATGTGGCCCAGGGAAGTCAAGGGAAGCCAAAAGATTGGACACCCTGGTAGTGAATCAGTTAGCTCTTAGTGTGTTAAAGGCAGTGAAGAATATAAAATCACTCTACAAAGTACCAAGCAAATATTTAATTTTGGTTCTTAGAGTTGGGACACCAAGGAAGGATATTTCTGTGGAATGAGAAACTGGAGTGTTCACTTCTAAATCTACTTTGGTATCATACATAAAGCCCTAGGCTATTATTTCACAAAAGCAGTTTTTTACATCTGTTTAGCTTTTAAAAAGAAAGATAATCCACAGATTTAGATATACAGGGTGAAGACTGAATTGATATGTAAAACTCACTAGAATGAGTGCTAAGGTACACTAGAGCACCTACGTGGCCCCGTGGAGGGGACTCAAAAAATGCTGTTGAATTGGTTGGGTGTGGTGGCTCATGCCTGTAATCCCAGCACTTTGGGAGGCTGAGGTGGGTGGATCATGAGGTCAGGAGATCGAGACCATCCCGGTCAAATGGTGAAACCCTGTCTCTACTAAAAATACAAAAATTAGTTACAGCTACAAGATTTATAATGGTGGTGGCGTGCACCTGTAGTCCAAGCTACTCGGGAGGGTGAGGCAGGAGAATTGCTTGAACCTGGGAGGCAGAGGTTGTGGTGAGCCGAGATCGTGCCTGGGCAACAAGAGCGAAACTTCATCTCAAAAAAAAAAATGCTGTTGAATTATTTTCCAAAGGAACTTAAAGCACTGGGCTTCCTCACATATTTTGGATGAGGTGTTTTGTTGGTCAGCCTTGGTTGGCATAACAGCATGTCCAACCTCGCTCCCTGCTCAGAACTCACCCCAGATTCCTAGCTCTGTGAGACAGGAACTCTCCTTAGAGTAGGTACAAGGTGCTCAATTAAGTCAAGAAAGGTGAAAGTGAAAAAGAGAGAAAATATACATTTGGACTAAGGGGGATGCCCACTTGACTGTAAAGCAGATTTTCATATACTGTCTTTGAAGGCAATTCCAAAGAAGAATTCTAAAAATGCAATACAGCAGCATATGAGCAAAGGTACAACTACCCAAGGGTGTTGCTAAGAAAGGCAGTATCACCTGAATATATATATTTAGTGCTCTAGCCACCCAAGATTAATGGCTATACTTAAACGAGGCCATGCATTTTGTATCTTTAAGCCTTTGCACACACTATTTCTGCAAACCCATAAAGTCTTTCTCTACCTGATTTTTGAGATTCAGTTTAAGAGCTTTCTTTTTTTTTTTTTTTTAATTGTACTTTAGGTTCTGGGGTACATGTGCAGATCATGCAGGATTGTTGCACAGGTACATACATGGCAAGGTGGTTTTCTGCCTCCATCCCCCGTCACCTATATCTGGCATTTCTCCCCATGTTATTCCTCCCCAACCTCCCCACCCCCTGCTGTCCCTCCCCAGCCCCCACAACAGACCCCAGTGTGTGATGCTCCCCTCCCTGTGTCCATGTGTTCTCACTGTTCAATACCCGCTTATGAGTGAGAATATGTGGTGTTTGATCTTCTGTTCTTGTGTCAGTTTGCTGAGAATGATGGTTTCCAGATTCATCCATGTCCCTACAAAGGACATGAACTCATCGTTGTTTATGGCTTCATAGTACTCCATGGTGTATATGTGCCACATTTTCCTTGTCCAGTCTATCATTGATGGGCATTTGGGTTAGTTCCAGGTCTTTGTTATTGTGAACAGTGCCACAATGAACATATGTGGGCATGTGTTTCTTAACTTCCTACGCCAAGTTAGCTGATTCCTTCCTATAAGCCCTCACTGATTTAATATGGAAATAAATTACAGCATGTGCAAGTCTGTGTTTGAAATTCTTAGGGTCCATGTTTGTCTTCCTCATTTGTTTGTGAGTTCGCTGAGAACATCTTTGAACTCCAGCCCATGGCCTCGCCTATTTTAAACAAGTATCTAAAATGAATTTCCTCATCCCTTACATTCATATTGCCCATTCTCTTTATCAGCACTTACCACAATCTGAATTGTTTGTTTGCTTACAAATTATCTACCTCCCCTGCTGAAAGTAAGCTCCAGTACAGCAAGGAACTCATCTCATGTGTCACCATCACAGTCACAGTACTTACATTTGCTTGGCATACTGTATGTGCTCAATAGTTACTGAATGGATGAATTGTAGGTGCTGAATAGTGTTTATCAAATGGATAAGCAAATGACTAATGATATCTTTGTTTTTTTATAATCACTTGATTATTCATAAGCAAAAACATGTTCAATCCTTAAAAGATGAGGGATAAATAAAAAATAGATTCCTGTAATAGCTCCATTCTGGTTTCTGGCTGTTGGACGCTGGATGAAATTACCTTTCAATCCAGTTATTATTCAAGTTAAAGCCTTGAAGCTTGGCATGGAGGAAAAACAATATGGTAAAAGGGCAGAGCATGGAAAATTTAGAGCCAGAAGTTGGTTTCCACATTTCTGAGGCACATTTGCTCAGAAAAATATCAAGGTCCATAGTGAAGCTTCCAGAAACCTAGCTTTTTCAAATGCACCAGAATCACTAGCAATTACGTTTAAGGTTCTTGTTTTATAAAAGTTTAAACATAAAAATGAGAAAATAATAAAATACGTATCTATGGGTTTGTTTCTACAAAAGCCATCAAGAACCCTAAAATTCCTATAAATACTTCTTTCTTCAATTTTTGGTCTCTTGCAGTGAAAATAAATACAGCAATTATGAATACGTTATTTTATGCTTTTGTTGAAAATTATTTTTATACTAATTTAAAATTGCCTTTTAAAATGAAGTTTATATAAACTTTAGAAAGGTGTTTTTATAATTTATGATTCATTAAATATGGAATTACTGCTACAAGATTTATAATTGGGTATTGGTGAAAATTATACACACACATACACGTATACACACATATATACATATATGTGTATATATGCACATATATGTATACACATATGTATGTATATACACATATATACTTATGTATGTATATGTGTGTATATATACACATATATACTTATATATATCTATATCATATATGTATAATATATATACTTATATATATATCTATATCTATATATATACACATACACTTATATATAATATATCTATATCTTATATATGTATAATATATATACTTATATATATCTATATCTATATATACACACATATATACTTATATATGTATATGTGTATACATATATGTGCATATATGTGTGTATGTAGTGTGTGTATATGTGTATGTGTCTGTGCATAATTTTCACCAATACCCAATTATAAATCTTGTAGCAGTAATTCCATATTTAATGAATCACACATATATATGCACATATATGTATATACACACATATATGCATGTATGTGTGTATATATAGATATATGTAGATATATATACACATATATATGTAGATATACATATATCTACATATCTACATATATCTATCTCTCTATACACACATATACATATATATTTCTCTATATATACATATATATGTGTGTCTGTGTGTGTGTGTGTATATATATATATATATATATATATAGAGAGAGAGAGAGAGAGAGAGAGAGAGAGAGATTCCATTTTCAGGAAACTTGGGATTGATTTACATAATTCTGACTTATGACCTCTTTTTCAGACATCAAGTAATATGTTCTTTATTTCAGGACATTGTGAAATTAACAGCAGGTCATCTATGATCCATCTGAAGTTTTTAAATCTCTCCTCTTTCTGAAGACCATTCAGTCTGATTTTTCCCATCAAGCTTTCCCTGGAAACCCCAAATCACACTGCACATTCTCCCTCCCTAATTCTGTCAGAACTATTAAGTATTGATTTTGATTCTTTATTAAGTTCAGTCTTTACCATTTACAGAAGATCTTTGGCCTTCATAGATTTAATACAGTTTTTACTCTCTGTGACCTTGAATGCTGATGACGTGCACTAATTTGCCATTGTGTTAAGGGCCAGTTTTGAAGTGTGGGCTGACAGTCAGACCTGGAGGAGGCCGGATAACCCTTTCCCTAGGCATGTCAGCATGGTGCTGCTGTCCTACTCTTGCACGAAGGCATGAAAGACACACACGCCACAGAGGTGCACTTAGTTTCTTTTTGTAAAATGGTCTAAAAAGCCAAATGACGGTGTTGATGATGGAAGTTCAATGAAGATGATAGTTCTTTGCCAGAAAATAGAAGTTAGGGATAAATTAAAGAATAGAATATTGGATCAGTAGTTCTGAGTCATTTGGTAAGTCAATATTTCAGTAAAAAAAAAAAAAAGTTCTGTGCAAATCAATTTTATTGCACTTAATAGAAGAAAGTGTGTGTGTGTGTGTGTGTGTGTGTGTGCGCGCACGCACATATAGTAGCATTCACAAATTTGGAGATTTCTAGAGGCCTCTTTACAAACTCCACTCTAAAGATACTCCAGAAGTAACTGCTGGTTTTCCAGTAAGACATGCAAGCTAGAGATCTGACTGCCCTCATCTGCTGGATTTAAATTTATTGGATGCCATGTGCCAGCCCTGTGCCAACCATTATGCAAAAACAAATTTCAATTAAGCTGTATAAATTGTCTTTTGCAGTAGGTATTAATGTCTTTTTTTTTTTTTTTACAGACACAAAAACTGAGGATTAAAGATTTTTTAAAAAACCTGTTGAACGTCACTCAACCAGTAAGTAACAAAGTGGGGATTAAAATCTACGTAGGTCTCCATGCAAAACCCCTGCTCATCCTTTTATATTATAGTGTGTTGCAACCTTCACTGCCCTTCCCTGCCTCCCACATATTCATTCAATAAGTTCTTATTGTACTTGCTTGACCCCAATTTTATTTCTAGGTTCTCCAAATTCACCACAGCAAAAATGTTTGCCGTTTGAATTCAGCAGCTAATTTGTGCAGTAGGCATGCACAGCTCCCCAATCCCACCACACCAGGGATATTTTTACATTTTCAGCACCGACAATATTGACTTCAGGTTATCTTATGGTGTGTTGGGAGATCCAGGCACACAAAAGTAAACGTTTGCCTGAAACTTTGTAAAATACACAGACATGTCTACTGATGGAATCCTCTAACGCATATTTTTCTTCCAGTGCCTCTGATGAGAATGCAATTGGGTTTATATTGATTTTTCCTTCTTTTTTTTTTTATTGAAATGGAGCTTTGCTCTTGTTAACCAGGCTGGAGTGCAATGGTGCAATCTCGGCTCATGGCAACCTCCATCTCCTGGGTTCAAGTGATTCTCCTGCCTCAGCCTCCCATGTAGCTAGGATTACAGGCATGTGCCATCATACTTGGCTAATTTTGTGTTTTTAGTAGAGACGGGGTTTCTCCATGTTGGTCAGGGTGATCGTGAACTCCATCTCAGGTGATCCACATGCCTCAGCCTCCCAAAGTGCTGGGATTGCAGGCATGAACAACTGTGCCTGGGCTGCATTTTTCCTTCTTTCTTTCTTTCTTTTTTTTTTTTTTTTGTTGAGACTGAGTCTCACTTTGTTATTCAAGCTGGAGTGCAGTGGCGTGATCTCTGCTCACTGCAACTTCCACCTCCCGAGTTCAAGTGATTCTCCTGCCTCAGCCTCCTGAGTAGCTAGGATTACAGGCATGTGCTACCACACCTGGCTAATTTTTGTATTTTTAGTAGAGATGGCATTTCACCATGTTGGCCAGGGTAGTCTCAAACTCCTGACCTCAGGTGATCCACCCGCCTAGGCCTCTCAAAATTCTGGGATTATAGGCATGAACCACCATGCCCGGCCATTTTTCCCTCTTTCATGCTTACTAGTGGAGGTGCTACTGAGCAGGAAAGTGACCCTATAGGTGTACAGCTAACTAGGAAAAGGAAGATGCAGTAAAGTGTCTAGAAAATCTGCAACTGAGAAGATGCCAAGATTAGTTCACAGATTTAGTCTGTTTATATGCAGAGCAGAGAATAAAAGAACAAGTGAGAAATGCAAAGGTGGAGAGGTAGGGAAGGGAGGTCAGGGAGTGCAATGAGCGGCATAGCCACATGTTTTGTGAGCCAAAATAAAGTATTAGGTTGGTGCAAAACAAATTGTGTAATTAAAATAATGGCAAAAACCACAATTACTTTTGCACCAACACAGTAGTTTGACAAACAAGTGTAATAGGCATTATGAGTTATATTTCAGACACTTTTCAGAACAGAAGGAGGGTGACAATTCTATGTAGTACGAGAGAAAGCTTGTTCAATGGGTCACCATGACCAGAAACCAACTATCATTCCATCTTCTTCCTCCTTCTCATGCTCCCCAAGGTTTTACTCTTTTATTCTCTTTCTCATTTTTCTAGAGATTGCTTCCACTTTTTGACTCAGACCAGGTACCTGGGTTTCCCTCCCTCTGCCCCTATCCCCAGCAAAGCTACTTTGAACACATAATGTGAATTTTATCTCATTCCCAGAGAAAATGTGTAGTCGTGTCTACTGGCAACAGGGAATCATGTTCTGGCTAATATCACTGGTCCACTGACTCATGCATTTGACAAACGCAAGTTGACCACTTACTATTTCCAGACACTGTCTAAGCACTGGAGCTATAGAACTCAATAAGAAGCAGTCTCTTTTCTCAGCAGGGTTACAAGCTGCAGGGCCAAAACACCTGGAGAAATATTTTAGGGCCTCTCTCTCTGAATCATTATGATAGAGAAGTGACTAATGTAATTCTGACAGTCCTCCTTGACCTCTCCGGCTCCATAAAGATCTCTGCTTTCACCCTGATGCAGCCCATACGTAGATATGGATGTTTGTAAATCAGATTCTAGAATTATAGCTTCACTTATATTTTTATTCCTAATTATAAATAAAATCAATATTTTAAAAGCTTCAAATTGACTGACTTGCTAAACCAGAAAATGAATTCAGCTTACAAACCTGAAAACACCAACTTGAGAGAGTTTCGAGCTGGAAAATGAAATGTGTTTATTTGCATTGCATAGCAGCCCAGAACTATTAGAAGTAATAAAAAACCCAAGCCAAAAATGTAAGGATGCAAAGCAACTCTGAAAACTACATTTGGGAATTTCAAAGCATCAAAAAAAAAATTATTCCCTGATGTGAGGGACACGAAGGCAAGTAAATGCCAACATGAGTTATTAAAATTTGAATAATAAAAGCAGACTTCTAGGTGGTGGCTATAACCTTCAACATATCACAGTTCTGGTCACTGTATTTAGATCTACCTCACCTGAAGGTCCCATGTACTTAGAGGAATCCCAGCTGGAATTCCTTCCCTCATGGGAACACACCAGTGATTATAGTAAATATTGTTGGTCTTCTGCCAAAATTCCCTTTGTTAGGCCAGTGCACCTAAGCCTCACCTGATATACATGTTAACTGGTCACAGCTTAACCCTTTCTTTCTCTAGAGAATTGTGCTTGGCTAATGGGAATGGCCTCTCTCTACCTCCACCGGAGCCCATAGCCAATGGCGGCTTTATATGGGTGTACAAAGATCTGACTCTCTTTGCTTAAAGTGGGAGAGCTCTGTGCTGCCATTCCTTCTTCTGAGTGCTGGTGGGATCAGGCTGAAACTAGATATCAGATAATACTACATTTTTTGCTTACCTTCCTCTGCAGCCTAGCCTGCTTCACTCACTTCCTTACAAAAACAGTCATCTCCTAAGAGCCCCTCATTCAGTGAATCACTCCCCAAGAATCTCCATCTCAGACTCTACTTCTAAAGAATATGGAGACATTGATCAATGTAAGGCCTCATGATCAATGTAGGCCTTCTAAAGAATATGGAGACATTGATCATTGTAAGGCTTAAAACTTTGTGTTGCCTTGACATCTTGGAGCCTCACGTGGCCCCAAAAGCCTACTGGTGACTTAACCTGTCTCCCTTGACATGGCCACCACCCAGCTAGTTATCTTATTGGCTGGACCAGCTGCACTGCACCTGGTCCTCAACCTAGTGGGTTTTATTTCCCTAACTAACTGCCTGTGAAATTATTCAAAGAAGCCAATCACATCCTCCCCTAGGAACCAGGGAACACCTCACCCTCTTATTACTGCAAAATATGTTTCCCAGTGCTTCTGCTTTGTCACTCAGCTCCTTACATGGCCCTGCATGGCCTGCAGTGTCCTCCTCCCAGGCTGTGAGTATATGTGGCTAATGAACTGCTGCTAGTCTCATTTGTCCAGGGCTGAGTAGGGTGTGTTCAGCCATCTCAACCTGTTTTGGGTGGGGAATACCTCCCTCACCAGTGGCGCAAAGAGGAGGTGACCAGAAAAATCAAATAATAGAAATCAATAGGAAAATCATTATGTTTTGACCAAAGTCAGGCAGCTTTTCTGGAACACATTTATTTCATAAGGAAAGGTCAATTTGTAATGCCCAGTAAGATTAAAGTAGGTTCAACAGAGTCTGCTAGCCACATGCATTAGTCTGTTTTGTGTTGCTATAACTGAATACCTGGGTAATTTTTTGTTTTTTTTTTTTTCTGAGGATGGAGTCTTACTCTGTTGCCCAGGCTGGAGTGTAGTGGTGCAATCTTGGCTCACTGCAACATCTACCACCTCCCAGGTTCAAGTGATTCTCCTGCCTCAGCCTCCCGAGTAGCTGGAACTACAAGTGTGCACCACCACACCGGCTAATTTTTGCAATTTTAGTAGAGATGGAGTTTCCGCATGTTGGCCAGGGTGGTCTCAAACTCCTGACCTCAGGTCATCTGCCTGCCTTGGCCTCCCAAAGTGCTGGGATTATAAGCGTGAGCCACCGCACCCGGGTGACTGGGTAAAATTTATAAAGAAAGACATTTATGTCTTATAATTCTGGAGGCTGGGAAGTCCAAGGATGAGGGACCTACGCCTGGTGAGGACCTTCTTGCTGTGTCATTCCATGGCAGAAGAAGCAAGGGCAAGAGAGCTTGACTGGAAGGGGGTCAAGCATCCTTTTGATCAGGAACCCAGTCCTGCAACAGCTAACTCACTTCTGTGATGATGGCATTAATCCATTCATAAAGACAGAGCCCTCATGACATAATCATCTCTTAAAGGTCCCATCACTGCAACTTTGTTGTACTGGGAACTAAGTGTCCAACACATGAACTTTGGGGACATATTTAAACTATAGCATTCCACACCTTCCCTCCAAAATTCATGTCCTCCTCATATGTAAAATGTATTCATTCCATCCCAGTAGTCTCAGAGTCTTAACTTGGTCCAGCACTAACTCAAAAGTCCAAAGTTCAGAGTCTTATCTAAATCAGATATGAGTGAGACTCAAAGTGGAATTCATCCTGAGGCAAATTCCCTCTAGCCGTGAGTCTGTGTAATCAAAATAAGTTATCCACTTCTGAAATACAACTAGGACAGATACAGGGTAAACATTCCTATTCCAAAAGGGAGAAATAGGCAAGAAGAAAGGGTGCCTGGTTCTAATTAAGTCCAAAACACAAAAGGGAAAACAACATTAAGACTTAATGATGGACAACAACCTCCTTTGACTGCATGTCTCGAATCCTAGGCACACTGGGGCAGAGGTGGGGCCTCCAGTGCCTGAGGCAGCCCTGCTGTCTGTGTGTGAACTAACAGGAAGTGGGCTGAACTCTGTGTGAACTAAGGGGAAGTGGGCTGAACTCATCCTTTTTCTCAGGAACCCACTTCTGCAATAACTAATTCATTCCTGTGATAATGGCATGAATCCATTCATGAAGGCAGAGCTCTCAAGACCTCATCACCTCTTAAAGGTCCCATCTCTCAATTTGGTTGCATGAAGGACTAAGTTTGTAACACGTGAACACTGGGGCACACGTTCAAGCCATAGCACCATGCGACCAGGCACAGGAGGCTTTCTATCTCAAGTTCTATGGTTCTCTGCAAAGAGATGGAAACAGGCCCATGTGAAGTTGTATAAATCACCCTACAAGAAATAAAATGTACATGCTCCCCTCTCTCTTACATGGGCAGCTCTGATATTTCCACTTTGGTGAGAGCAATTCACTTTACTAAATTCAATTTAGTAAACTCAGAAGACTGTGAAGGCATGCAGAAAAGTGGGCATATTTAATACTGCCTCTGCCTCCCACCCACTCACTCATCTCTGATGTTTCATTTGAGAGAATAGATGATAGAGGCAATCTGAATTAAATTCATACTGGCACATTTAGTTTAAACAGTCGTAGCAAACACCTAATGGGAAGATACCCAAGCTGCTGCCAGATTTTTCTTAGTCTTGCTCCATTTCAGAGATGATTCACTCAGGAACTTGATGACTCCCTTTTAAAGCAACACAACAGGCCTATTAGCACTTAATTGCATTAACAGCCTGTGTTTCCTACCATAACCAATAATAGTCTTGATTTAGGGATGGTGCAAGCCAGGATAGCCTGGACAGTAGATCTATTTCTATCTCTTATCAGATGGGAGTTCCCTTGGGTCAGAGACTATTTTCTCTCTGGAAGCAGTGAGAAATTCTGACTTAGGTGATTTTTAGGCAGATGGCGGGACTGATATATTTAGAGGGTCCAAAAATATCGTTCTGTTAATTACATTGTGAAGTTCTTGATTACAGTAGTCTGTTTTACTAGGGCCAGGGCTATTTTACATTCATACTGATTTTCTTCTAATGTAGGTGGACAATGTAGCTAGAGAATGAAATCACATGGTTGGTTCTAGTTACCTGGAATCGGGCGGGATTAGTAAATTGCTATTGTTGGAACTGAAAAGTAATGGTGATCTAACAGATTATGTAAGCATATAGACTATAGTATATATATATATCTATATATAGAGAGAGAAATCAATATATTCATATAGATAAATAGGGAGATTGGATAGGGAGAAATGGATACAGGGAGGTAGACTGACTGAGAAATCTCTCAGTTCTGCCTTTGCACGGTAGTGCCGGGTAATAAAAATGACTGTGAAGCTGCAACCACTCAAACCAATCTTAATCAGTTAAAAAAATTAGGACTGTGACAGGACCTTTAACACTTTTGATCAAAACATTAAAAACTGTCTTACTGTCAATTATATATGCATAGGGAAATTTAAAAAAAGGAGTAAATGTTTATTTACTAACCTAATTTAGAACATTAGAAGCATTGAGCATTAAACGGAAGAGCAGTTTGAACAGAGCTTTTGGTCTTCTCTTCATCTACCTTATGATCCCGAACAGGCACTTTTTTTTTTACGCTTTGACAAATTTGTCATCATCCTTTCTAAGTTTGGATCAGCTAGCAACATTTTATCCTTTGCACTTTCAAGGATGTGAACCATCTCTGAGAGATCCTTTAATGTGAAGTTTTCATAAGTGCTACTGCCTCTGGGGCATCTTCATCCTTCGTCACAGCTACCGTCTTCACTTTCAGGTTATAAGTTTACCTTTCCTAAGTTCTTCTCGCTGCTGTCTTGAGCAGTATCAGTGTGAACATTCCCAAGGCAGCTATTTCTGCTATAATTCCATTTATATTTGACGCATAGTTCATTTCCAGCATTATCACTTTTTGTACCTTTGCTGTGCTATCATCTTTGTGGGACAACTCCCTGTTTCTAGGATCCGTTCTTTTGAAGCGTCATATAGATGTGTCACTGGGAGACAGGGAGGAAACACAGCTATCTCCTTTGCTGTCGGTGTGTGATTAACAGAGGTGCCATGGCCCATCACCCATAGACTTTGAAAGAAGTGATATGATTGGTCACCAGTCAGGATACACATCTGCTAGTTACATGGTGGGATCTGTGAACTGAAGAGTTAGCAATGAGGTCTGTACTGTATGAAATTACTCAAAGTTAATATGCCTTGTTAGCAGAAATTTGAACCATTTTGTTGAGAGATGGGCATATCTAATTAAATCATGATAACTGAAATCCATGGAAATTGGAAACATGCAAAACAAGGCCAGGTCTGTGTGTGTGTGTGTGTGTGTGTGTGTGTGTGTATGTGTGTGTGTGTGTGTGTATGTATACACACAAATTGCCTTCCCCTAATCTGCCCTATCAAATACAATTTCAGTCTCTGTGGGACCTGATCTTTGAACTTTTATAATACAAAATTAGGAAGAAAGAGAAGGGAGGAGGATTACTATGTGGAAGATAAAAGAAGGAACCTAACCAGAGAGGTTCAGTTGATTGATGTAGTCAAGAATGGAAGAGAAGGACAGAGAGGAGAGAATCTCTTCGTCTTGGTTTTCTTCTTTTAGAGTCATGAGAAGAATGGAAACAGCTGAAGATATAGGATGGATACAGATAGGAGAGTGGAGAAGATCTTGGTAAGTGTCGCCCTGCCTAGGTATACAGATTTCCCTCGTTTTCATAATTTTAAAGGATTTGAGTTATCTTGGTATGTCTCTTAGCTCTGAAACTGTGCTTTTGGTCTGTGATACTGGTCTAGATGGGATTTTTTGAGGCATTATTTACAAGGACAGATGTTTCCTGAGCCCCTTTATTAGTTCAGTTTACTGGAAAGTGCTGGACTTTAGAGTTAGAAAGAGAAGCTCAAATTCTAAATCTACCACATACTAAAGGAGGGATCTTAGAATACTTACTCAAATACTACAAATTTAACTCATTGGATTGAGATTATTTGAAGCACATTGCCCATAATAAATAGTTACTTTCTTCTTTTTCTCCAGTAACACCATGGGGAGGCACAACTATATAAATGTTCTCATTTGAAAAATTACAAAATAGGAATGAGTAAAGCCGATACCTGAACTTGCATCTCAGAGTTCCCAACTGGGCTTTTTGTTTTGGTGTGTTGTGTTTTTGCATATTTAATCCAACAAGAAATAGTTTGCAAACTGAGATAACAAAGGAAAGCAAAGGCAACGCCTGATGAACTGAGCACAAAATATAACTCAACAATTCTACTGTGTCTCTGTTTATTATTGTTTCTCTAGGTGGAAAGAGAGTCAGAGCTTAACATGTTTTTCTCTTACCTGAAATATAATGATAACTGTAAAACGATTATAGATGAACTAAGAAGCAAAGATTGGGAAAAAAGTGTTTGGGGCATGATGCATTTTATGATTCACAGAAGTTAGTATTTATGGGTCCTCTTGGGCCAGAGAGGGCTTGCAAGGTGTTAAAAGATTTGACACTGGCTGGGCATGCTGGCTCACGCCTGTAATCCCGGAACTTTGGGAGGCTGAGGCAGGTGGATCGCCTGAGGTCAGGAGTTCAAGACCAGCCTGGCCAACATAGCGAAACCCCATCTCTACTGAAAATACAAAAATTTGCTGGGTGTGGTGGCGTCCACCTATAATTCCAGCTACTGGGGAGGCTGAGGTATGAGAATCACTTGAACCCAGAGGCAGAGGTTGCAGTGAACCGAGATCATGCCACTTCACTCCAGTCTGGGAGACAGAGCAAGACTCCATCTCAAAAAAAAAAAAAAAGATTTGAGGCTAATATGGTTATGGGAAAGACTTTACATTGATGTGCATGATGCATCTACAGGTGACAGTGCTACCATATATTGGTAGCCAGGTGCCATGGCACACACCTGTAGTCCCAGTTACTTGGGAGGCTGAGGCAGGAGGATTGCTTGAGACCAGGAGTTCCAGCCTGGGCAATATAGTGAGGCCCTATTTTTAAAAAAAAACAACTTCCATAATCAAGTGCTAGTCAAGGTGTCAGGTCCACTTGTCACTTTTCTCAAGGATGAACTCTCACCTCACTTTAGTCCAGTGGCTGGTCTTCCCCCAACTTCCCCCAAAAGCTGTACTAACACAGGCCTTCCTTCTTTCTCCTCTCTTAGAGTGCAGGGAACTTTCTCCATCCACTCAAATCCCTGTCATTTCTCGGAAGCCATTCTTCAAGTCTCCTGACTATCTTATGAAGAAAAATAATGTTAATATTAAATTTTCCTCCCGTATAGTGGTGAGGAGGTTTTAAGATTTGCACTAAACAGAATTTTTAAAAGGAAGTTGTTGTTTCATATTATTTGAGTTCATATAAATGCCACTTCTAAAAATTTGAAATTAAATATAATCTGTACAACCTTGTCACAGAATGACTGTGATTAAATTTACAAAAATTACAAAATATAACAATATAGGAAAATTCAAAGAACATAAATTTAAGGTAAATTACAGCTAGGTAAATATAGGATCACATTTTATGTCTTTACAGATACCAAGCGAATTCACTGATATTTGCAATAATATAAGAAAGGCATCGTATTAAGGATTTGCCATTCATTGTAACATTTTGCTAAAAACCACTCATATATCTACACACCAGGATTCAGTATTAAATATTTATTCAAAAAAATCTAGTTTGGATTTGTTTCCTTGAACTTGATCTATGGTAATCTTCTGAGATGCGTGAAAATGAAGGCAATAAAAGACATTCTTGCTTTTCATAATTATCCATGATCAATCATTATTGCTCTTATGGATACTCTGCATAATACTCTTAAGGAGACTCTGGAATGATTATCTGAAATTACATCATAAGAACAATCATGTGCTAAAAACAGAAAGAGCTTTATGTGCACATTTATTACTGTTCTATGAGAATGTCTAATAATATGTTCACTAATAATTTGGGATAAGCAAAAGGCATGAGACAATTTATAGATGAGAAAGAGTAACTTTTGGATGATTTTTAATTTCATGAATAATGGTAATGATTTTCAATATAGTTGTGTTTAAAGAGATGAGAGAAAAGTACCTCCAAGAATTGAGACCATCAACTTGGAAGGTGCAGGGCTGTATGTGTTGGCCAGCCTCCCTTTGCCCCTTCAGATCCAGCCTCTACCTTTCCCATCCTTCTCTGTATCCTGGAAGACTCACCTTAAGAGCACATCCATGGGGCTTCTTGCCTCTGGCTTCCAGGCAGCTTTAGCCCATGGAAGACACCAGCAGGGTGTCAGTGGGCAGGGGTTGGCAGGAGATGCGTTTCTTTGCCAAAGACCACAGCTGGTAGTGGGTGGCACTTTTCCATAGCTGCAAGCCTCCCTAGTTTCAGGTAACCGTTGCTTCTCCTTGCCCTTTCTGGTCAAGGAATAGTAGTGGCCTCTAACTACTGTTGGCCCCAGAGTTTTTCTCTCTCTCTTACTGGTTTCCCAAACCTTGGCTATACCTTGTAAATTATTCCCACATTAAATCCTTTCCAGTGATCCCTTTTGACCTTTCCCTCCATCTCCTGCCAGGATCCTGAAATATGTGGTAACCTCCAAGTCCACTCAGAACCTTAACCAAGTGAGAGCATTTTTCATCACAATCAGCTCCTTTCCTTATTGTTCTACAATAACTGTTGGTTGCTTTTTCTTCCCTGGTATCCATTCATTCTTTTTCTTTCACAGCACCTGATTTTTTTCCATTAGAGAACTGTCGACCCTCATCTTCACTGCAAATGACTTAGATGAGGCTGATTTCAGCACTAAGGCTGAACAAATTATCCAAGTCAACCCTATTAGACTTATAATCTCAGGACTTTCGTTGGAACAATTGAGGCAAAGAGACCTTCTTCACTGAGACAACCAGGGGCAAGGAAAACGTAAGCATGGAATGGTCAGGCCAACTAGAGAGGAAGCCTGGTAATAAACTAATGAAGTGAAGAGGGGAAGAAAGAGATGGACAGGTAGACCTAATACATTATTTAAGTCCCTGGATACCACCATGCCTGAAGCTTATCTTTGGACATTGCAGTTATCAGAACCCAGGTAAGCTCATTTTGCTCAAGCTAAGTTGAGTTGAGTTTTCCATCACTTGTAATGGAAAGATCATTGACTATTAGGCCTTTTCCTAATAAAAACACATGCATTTGGAAAGAGTAAAAAGTAGAGAGTGATAGAGATGTGACTTTCAAAATTATATCAACCATCCAGATTTATAATTTCTTTTCATCAAGAACACATAACCTTAACGCATAAACTCATGAAAGGCTACGGGTGGTTTGTATTAATTATGATTTTCGATGTTCCCACCACCTGCACTGTCTCTTCGGTTCTTTGAAATCTCTGAGTGATAGGACAGTACCAAGCCAAACAATCCATTTGGTGTTAAATTTCTAGGCTGAGACCCATGCATGATCTGCTGTAAACAAAGAACAATGGTGGAAAACAGCCCGATGGTGTGTTCAAGTATTTATTTAGGGGCCATTTGAGTGGGCCTTCTCACATGACAGGGTTCTTTGGCAGGAAAGCTGTTACTGTGACATTCACTATTCCCATTTACTGTCTATTAGCAAGTGAGTCACTGGGAGGTCAGATCATCCCCAAAGTCCAGTGTTCCTGAGCATTCAAGATCAAGTTCAAGGGATAGCAATCATGTGTAAGGACAATGGCAAAGCCTCAATCCTTTGAAATAGAAAGACTAACTCCCAAGAGATGGTCACAAAGTGAGTTTTACTATCTTCAACATATCATATAACTTGGGAAAAGAAATCAGGGACCATATTAATACGACCCAAAGTCTTCTCCACAGCAGCTGTCCTTTCTGAGACAGAGGTGAAGTCTTTATTTATCTTTTCACTCCTTCCCCACTCCTGCCTAGCACTGTGCCTCACAAAAGTAGGTGTCCTTTAATGAGGACATTAAAGAGCAGCTGGCTTAAGAGCATAAATAAAATATAAGGTGATATAAGAAAAGAGTCAGCACATAATAATTGCTCAAGTAATCCTTGCTGTTATTTGTAAATGTTTGATTGAATCATCTTGAAAGTGTCTGTGTTATTAACAAACAGGCCCATCAAAACCCACACAAACCCTTTTTAAGTAATAATTTTGACTTCCTTGACTCCCAAAGCAACAGCTCTGTTATGAGTTTGTGTTATTTTCCCTTCCCTTCATAAACAGATGTTAAAATCAAACTATTCATCAACTCACTCAACCATCCAGACAACAACCTGGACCCCGTGCAATTTGCCACATATTTGACTAAGTGAAGGTAATCAAAGTTGATTAAGACAAAACCCCTGTATCATGTCAAGGCCTGTAGCCTGCTGGAGAGGGATGAGAAATCCACACAGACTGAATGAGAGCAGCAGCCTATGGAATGAGAAAACTTCAGTGGTTATGAGCACTGGGGGAGTCTTGGGGAGGATGACAGTTATGGAGGAAGGTATTTTCCTTACCTTTTCTGCAAGCCAGCCAAGATGCCTTATCTCTCGGCTCCCAGCAATGCCTGTTTTCCCCAGCTGCTCTCTGACCTCAGCAATCACTCGGGTCAGCAGGTCATTAACGTTGGAATGGATGGCACTGAACCATGCCTGAGCGGTGGCTGAGTCCTTGCTCCTTAGGATCACCATGTGCTTAGCATCTGGAGAGTGGATTTCAAGCTGCCTAGAGGAGCAGAGAGAGAAGGGTCAGAAAGTTTCCTGGCAGGTTCGGCTTCCTCAAGACGTGGGTCACAAAGATGAATTAATTCTTTACTGCCACTTTTAGACATTGTCAGTTTCTCATGGTATGCCTTAATGGTCCTGCCATCCATTCATTCACTCATTAATTCATCTGTGCAGATTTACTGGGTGCCCAGGTACTGGTCTGCATAGTGGGAACACAGTTGTGCAACCACCAAATCACCTTAATTAAGGTTATCTGATTTTCTTGTTATTCAGCTGATTTGCTGATTAGTAGTATCATATCAAGACTTCCAAACTGTGAGCTGATACTAATTTGCCTTACTTCTTAATTCACAGAGGATTTTAATAATATACTCACATCCTTGCTGCTGCTGGCAGGAAATAGATTGAAATATATCTAGCCACATGCTTAATCCTGCTCCTCAGTGTTAATCAATCGAGACTATTTTAGAATCAAAGATGACCAAACTTCAAATCTTTCAGGAATTTTGTCTGTAGCACATTTAGCTTCCACTTAATTCTCAGACCCGTGGTGTAAAGGTGTGAATCAGCCTAGGAAGTGTAGCAGTGGGGAGAGACATGCACTGAAAGTATTATATTTGAAGTCCAGGCCAGGCATGGTGGCTCTCGCCTGTAATTCCAGCACTTTGGGATGCCGAGGCGGGTGGATCACCTGAGGTCAGGAGTTCAAGACCAGCTTGGTCAACATGGTGAAACCCTTTTTCTACAAAAATACAGAAATTAGCTGGGCATGATGGTGGGTGCCTGTCATCCCAGCTACTCAGGAGGCTGAGGCAGGAGAATCTCTTGAACCCAGGAGGGGGAGGTTGCAGTGAGCCAAGATCAAGCCATTGCACTCTGACCTGGGTGACAGAGTCAGACTTGTTCTAAAATAAAAAAATAAAGTAAAATAGTCCAATATGAAAGCTTATGCCAGAACTCAAATTGGATTACTGGAGAAAGAGAGCAAGAGATCTGCATACTGTAATTGTGGTAAGAGAAGGAAATTGTCGACAGATACTTTACGTCATTAACTTTTTATTTTGAAGTAATTGTAGATTAGCATGGAGTTGCACAAATAATAAAAGAAGTCTGGGATGGCCTTTACCAGCTTCCCCCAATGGTTATATTTTACCTCCTATAATACAGTATCAAAACTAGGAAACTGACATTGGTACAATGTGCATGTATATCCTATGCCATTTTTTTTATGTGTAGATTTCTGTAAACCCCACTGCAATCACAATGCCAAACTACACCATCACTACAAAGCAGAGACCTTTAATCTCCTCCACAACTACCCTTTCCTAGTTCTCTGTCCCCCATCCCCACCGCTATCCCAAATCCCTAGGCAACAACTAAACTGTTCTTGTAACTATAATTTTTAGGCAGATACTTCTTAATTGCACAGAAAAAAAAACCATTATTCACTCATGTATATATGCAATAAATAGTGTTTATTCATTCATGTTTACATTAGAAAGATACAGGGATTGGGAAATTCAAAGCTGAATAGAATTATCCATTTATTAACTTCCTTTCATCCCTTAATAATCACTCTATTATTCACTGAGAATTTACTATGTGCCAGGCAAAATTTTAAATCATTTTATATTATTACATATAATGTTTCTATCAGCCCTATGACTGACATTTTTAACCCTCCTTAACAGAAGAAAAAATTGAAGTTTGGAGAGAGAGAGGAAGAAGCCATTTACCCACAGCCACACTGTTGGTGGTAATGGGATTCAAGCCTATGAATTAAAAAACTACACCACAGTGTCTCTCCTTGAGATTGGACAATGTCCTATGGGCAGAACTCACTGCCTTCTGCAGTGATGTGAAGTCTAGTATTCACCAGCAACAACTATGCCCAATAGTGTCCCACCTAGCTCCTGGGTTTCAAAGTAACAATTCTGCAGATGGCCTGGATTAGAAGACCCAATGCAACTTGGTCTCATTAACATTTGAAACCAACCTTTTGCAGTGAATAAACCTTTTCACCACAAGCTTAAGTTGTAGAAGAGGAATGATTTGGAAATTTGGATGTCACTAGGGGAACTTTAGCAATATTAGCTTTGTAAGGAATTTGCAAAGCCAGATACCAAAAATTGTATGTGATGGAACAGGGAATTCTTTAGGTGACAACTGTCCTCGCACAGAAGAAAAAAAACATCATGCCTCTTAGGCAGTTTTCAAAAAAATGGGTAATAAATCTAGGGAGAGTTTTCATTCTCTCCCTAAGTTTTAACTCTTCAATAAAGTTGCATAGCAGAATACAAAGCAGCATTCTCAAGAGCATTGAGAGCTCAACTTCTTTTTCTTTTATTTCTTTAAAACTTTATTTTTAGTTGACAATGATGGTTATTAACTGGCTTTTCAGGTTTACATTCTACCAATATTCATTATTCTAGGAATTTAAAACATGCAAATATTTCATTTACAATATTTTCTTCTGAAGGCCTTTTTAAAAATTTTGACAAGGGTAACTTTATTAAAGCAAAGAACTGAAGATAATGTTAAGGGACTCTACCTCCACCATCTTTCCTAACTTATATCTTCCTTGAGAAATCGGGCAAGGTTAAGTTTGCTTTTTTCCAGTGCTGCTGTTTTGGCTTGTTTTGGTAGCTGCATTTTCATTTCTGATTCTGGTTCTGGAACTCTATGGTTAATTTCAGAGTCAACCTCAGCAATCTGAAGTCTCCTCTTCATCCTAGCTGAAGCTGACACTTTTTTCTCTCCCCTATTCTTTTGCTAAGTAGATTTTGATGCCTGTGTTTCTTTTACATCACAAAGAAGAGTCATATATGCTTCCTTATTCTTTTCACCTTCATTTTGAAAATTATTTATAGTCAAGCTGGCATCCTGTGCTGCTACAGGTTGGCCGTCAAATTCTTTATTTCCTTTTTTCTCACTGAATCTTGATTTTCTCCAAAGCTTTCAGACATGTCCTATCCTTTACTTGCTCCAGAATCCCATTCAATAGAAGCAAATCTTTTGCAAGTTGGCTATTGAGTTCTAAAGAACTTAAGGCTTTTATATAGACTGGAATTTCTGGTGAGCATGGACTTGTTAAGATCTCACTGCAAATTTTTATAGCCAAATTGTCATGTACTGTTAAGGCCTGTTAATCTTAGGAATTCTTGGCGTGAGGATTTAATCTGCTTGGTCTTGTCAAATCTGTAAGTAACTCAATAACATTTGTGATATCAATTTCACCTAAAGAAGGTGCAGGAGCACTGGCCAGTGTGTGCAGACTTGGAAGAGACACTTCTTCAAAGCATTCCTGATTAATCCTGCTTACATAAGAAAACTTGGGGGAGATCACGCATAGGCAACGTTGAAGTCAAACATCCTCTTCAGTCACAGGACTGTACCATCACGAAATAAGATGGGAAAGAATCCTGCTGCTGACCAAAAGCCCAGAAAATATCAGCTTGGCTAGTTCTTCTGAAGCTCCTGTCCTAAGTTCAGAAACCTCACTATCTACGAAACCAGAAAGGAGTTTCAGAATATTCTTCACTGTAAGGGCCTCTTCAACTTCTGACGACTCTTGCTCATCATCACTGTTTATCTCTGCACTTTCACATTGAAAGGCTTTGATTTTTGTAGGTTTAAGTGGTTCAACCCCAAACATTATCAATTGGTCAAAGATTGCCTTTAAAACACTTTTTTTTTTTTTTTGAGATGGAGTTTTGCTGTTGTTACCCAGACTGGAGTGCAATGGCACGATCTCGGCTCACCGCAACCTCCGCCTCCTGGGTTCAGGCAATTCTCCTGCTTCAGCCTCCCGAGTAGCTGGGACTAGGCGCGTACCACCATGCCCAGCTAATTTTTGTATTTTTAGTAGAGACGGAGTTTCACCGCGTTGACCAGGATGGTCTCGATCTCTTGACCTCGTGATCCACCCGCCTTGACCTCCCAAAGTGCTGGGATTACAGGCTTGAGCCACAAAACACTTATTTTTATTGTGATATCATCAATTTGCAAAACCTGCAATAATAACACAAAGTGTTACTTGCAAAATCCTGACTCTGTAGTCTGTAACTCCCAAGCATAAAACAGCCAGATTTCTTACTATAGTGTAAACACTTATCATTTTAGGAAGAATAAAAAATTCAGTGATCCCATTCATGGCTGCACTTATGCCTGTTGAAATGGACACCTGCTTCAACATTTCACAGTATAAGACGTTCTGCAATGTTTCTGTGTCATTCTTCTCTTCGTGGACTTAATTTCACATAGCTCTTTCTCTTTCAAAAGGTTTCGTTTTGCTGGGTGTGGTGGCTCATGCCTGTAAACCCAGCATTTTGGGGGGCCGAGGTGGGCGAATCATGAGGTCAGGAGTTTGAGACCAGCCCGGTCAATATGGTAAAACCCTGTCTCTACTAAAAATACAAAAACTAGGTGAGTGTGGTGGTATGCGCCTGTAGTCACAGCTACTTGGGAGGCTGAGGTAGAAGAATTCCTTGAACCTGGGAGGTGGAGGTTGCAGTGAGCCAAGATGGCGCCACTGCACTCCAGCCCCGGCTACAGAGTGAAACTCTGTCTCAAAAAAAAGGTTTCTTTTGGCATATTCTAATGCATTTATTTCTTCTTTTAATTTTGATGTCCAATTAAAATCCTGTAAGGTAATAATATAATAAATGTTATTATATTATTAGGTAAGGTAATATTTTCCAAAGCTGCTTTGGCTTCAATATGCTTAACTTTTATTTCAGCCATCTTGAGTCCTTCCTTTCTTGCCTCAGCTGGGTCATCATTAACACCAATGGTAACAATGGGTGCCCCAATCTCTGAGATAATTTCTGTAATAAGTTGTGTGCTCTTATTATCATCTATAATAACGTGAAGCAGTCCTTCAACAGTAACAAAAAACCCCTCAGGGATATTGGGGTTGTGGGTAGAGTAAGAATCTCCTGTAAAATAACGAGCAGTTTTTTTCTTCCTCCTTCTTCATTTATATCCAAAGACCTAATAAGAATCAATTGTCAATCAAAACAAACAAACAAACAAACAAACAAACAAAAAACAAATCTCATGACTTTTAGGCTCTTTTCAAAGAAATGGGTAATAAGTCTGGGGTGAGGTTTCATTGCCTCCCAAAGTTCTCACTGTTCAGTAAAGTTGCATAGCAGAACACAAACTAGGATTCTCAAAAGCATTAATGAGAGCTCAGCTTTCTTTTCTTTCCTTTCTTTAAAACTTTATTTTATTTTTAATCGACAATGGTGATTATCAACTGGCTTTTCAAGTCATTCTATCAATATCTATTATTCTATAAATTTAAAGCATGTCAAATACATCATTTACAATATTTTCTTTTGAAGACTAGCATTTGTTTTCAAAGAAATGACGTCTTGGGAAACTGCCACTCCACAGGTATCACACACACAAAAGTGATGCCAGCAAAAATGAAAGACAGAAAAAAGAGCATTTCCTTTGTTGGGTTGCCAGCATGGCCCTCGGATAAAGCAGACTTGCAAACGGAGGTACAGGCTAGTGATGCGGAGGCCTATTTCTTCCAAGTTTTGGCAGCACTTATCATTATTATTAATTTTTAAGTAAACTTTTAAAGTATAACATACAGACTGAAAAGTGCACAAATTGTAGGTGTCCACCTCAACTGTATTCTTGCAAAGAGAATATATTCATGTCACCATCACTCAGATCAAGAAATAGAATATTACAGTCATCCCAGAAGTCCCTTTCGTATACCCTTTCCAGTTCCTGTCCTCCAATATAATCACAATTTGAATTTCTAACACTATGGATTCCTTTGCCTCAGGCACAAATGGATGAGTTTTTGTTTGCTTCATTTGACATTGCTACCTGAAGTGTAGAGAGGATCTAGGACAATTTCTGAGGCAAAGTTGAAGTACCAAGTCCCACACTTTTTGGGAGTGCTTCTCAAGGTGAGAACCAGCAGCATTTGCATCACCTGAGAACTAATTAGAAATGCAAATTATAGGTTCCCATCTCAGGCCTACTTCATTAGGAACTCTGGGGGTGGGGCCCAGCAATCATCCTCCAGGAAAATCTGACTCCAGTTAAGTTTGAGAAGGGCTGCGCCATAGGTTCATTTAAAAAAAGGGCTGAGCTTGGTTGTGTGCCAGGCTATCCAATGGCTGAGGGGACATGCAACAGTGAACTGAACTTCCCCCATCAGTTTTCAGAGAAAGAACACAAAAGACACAGAGAAGACAGGCCTGTTGCTTTTTATCATCAAAAAGAACAGCAAGGTTCTCAACCAAAAGTATTCTTCAGATATCCTTTAATAGGCTTCTTATTAAAAATCATTCAGTTAAATATAAATGGTTGGACCCCATCTCAGTTCTGGTGAGTAAAAATCTCCAGGGATTGAAGGCTGAGCATGTGCTTTAAATGTTCCACAAATTATATAGATTAAAGACCACCACAGGCCTCTCTGAGGCCAAGCTGGAGCCCACTAAGGGGCTACACTATTGGTAGTTGTCCCCAGAAGGGCAATACAACAGATGGCTTGGGAAGAGTATGTTAGTTATGGACTACTGACAAACAAATTCCCTCCTCCAATTGAAATTTGGCTTAAAATTCCAGGCCAGGCACAGTGACTCATGCCTGGGATGCCAGCACTTTGGGAGGCTTAAGTTGGAGGATGACTTGAGCTTAGGGGGTTAAGGCCAGCCTGGGCAAGGAGGGAGGCCCCATCTTTACAGAAAGTTTAAAAATTAGTCAGGCATGGTGGTGCACATCTGGTGTCCCGGCTATGCAGGAGGGTGAGGTGGGAGGATTGCTTAAGGCCAGGAGGTGAAGGCTGCAGTAAAAGCCATGACTGTACTATCGCACTCAAGCCTGGGTGACAGAGCCAGACCCTGTCTGAAAAACAAACACAAAAAAGAAGTTCCAAACATCTGTTATCTCACAGCATCTGTAGGTCATGAATGTGGGAATGGCTCAGCTGAGTGGTTCTGGCTCAGGAATTTGCAGTAGGGATGCTAACAGGGGCTGCAGGCATTTGAAGACTTGACTGGGGTTGAGGATCCACTTTTAAGATGGCTCCCTCTTATGGCCATTGGCAAGAAGCCTCCATTCTTTGCCATGTGAGCCTTTCCAGAGGCTGCTTGAGTGTCCTCCTGACGTGGCAGCTAGTTTCCTCTAAAGGAAAAAAGGAACTGCTATGCCTTTTCTGACCTGGTCTGCAAAGGCACACATCATGTTTGTTGTTGTTTGTTTTTAAAATTTCAATAGTTTTGGGGGAACAGGTGGTTTTTGTTACATGGGTAAGTTCTTAAGTGGTGATTTCTGAGATTTTGGTGTACCTGTCATCTAAGTTCCCAACACTGTACCCAACGTGCAGTCTTTTATCCTTCACCCTGCTCTGACCCTTCCTCGTGAGTCCCCAGAGTCCATTTATAAGTAAGAACATATATTTGGTTTTCCACTCCTGAGTTACTTCACGTAGAACAATAGTTTCCATCTCCATCCAGGTGGTTGCGAATGCCATTATTTTGTTCCTTTTTTATGACTGAGTAGTAGTCTGTGGTGTATACAGAAGGCATACCAAATTTTCTGTATCCACTCATTGGTTGATGCTGATTTAGGTTGGTTCCATGTTTTTGCAATTGTGAATTGTCCTGCTATAAACATGTATGTGCAAGTGTCGTTATCATATAATGACTTCTTTTCCTCTGGGTAGATAGATACCCAGAGTGATACTCAGGTTTTCCACTCCTGGGGTTGCTGGATCAAATGGTAGTTCTACTTTTAGTTCTTTCTTTTAGTTTCTACTTTTATGTTTAGGAACCTCCAACCTGTTTTCTATAGTGGTTTTACTAGTT